AAGAGACGCCAAAAGCCGAGTCCTTTCAACAAAAGACACACCGCGAAAAAGAATACCGCCAAACCGTCAAACCCCACCCCGAAACCCCATGTTTTTCTCTCAACGCCCCAACGCCCCAACGCCCCAACGCCCCAACGCCCCAACGCCCCAACGCCCCCGCCAGTCCCCAGCCACGAAACGGCGACTCCGACTCCGTGGGCCCTTCCTGCGGCACCGCCTGAGGCCCCGCCACCAGCGCCGTCACCTCCCAGAGCTCCGCCTGGGAGCCGCCGAGCCGCCCAAACGCCAGGCCCACCGGGCCTGGCGCATGGAACGCCCAAAAACGGCCCCGAAGCGGAGCCTCTCCCCCCCAAAAAGGGCCAGGCGTGGCGCTTGTCAAAAAGCGACACCAACCAAGGGAACCCTCGAAAAAAAAGAAAGTCCTAGATGGCCAAGTTGCGATCGCTTGTTTCAGTCACTGTTGCGATCGGCTTTGGGGGTACAGTGCCATTGAAAAAGACAGAGGGAACCTCGAAAAAGGAGCGGCCAAGAACTCGGAGCTCTCCCCCCCCCCGAAATGAGCGGCGGTCCTTTGGTTCCCTCGTAAAACCACACCACAAAAAGGGAACCCCCAAACAAGACCGACCCATACCGTGAGTTAGCAAGTTAGCATACACAACCAATAGGTGCAACTAACATGGTCCAAAGCCAAGAGGTATAGAGCTCATAAACTCAGGGAGCGAGGATGCAGGAAATTCTACATGTTGTTGGTGGGCCTTTGGCGAACTGTAGACATTCATGTGGCTTCTTTGAACAAGGATCCCCCTCTGCATTTCCCGGGCGGGGGTTGAACAGCCTTTCGGCAGTAAACTTGTTGCTGGTTGACAGGGAGCATGAAAGGAAAAAGCAAAGCGCGGCGTGAGCTTGGTTGGTTTACTTGCAATATGTTGGCTCTAGGACCGTCCGCCCTGGTAGTTGATTGTCTCTTGGGATTGGAGGGGTGCCCCCTTTTCCCCATGGCTCTGCCTTGGATCGAGGGGGGTCCCTTGTGCTGAAGACTCGCTGGCGAGAAGAGCCAAAAGAAGATCCTGAGTGTGTTGGTTCAGGTTGAACATCAACTAAGAGCGACTTCTTGCGGGGATGCAAGTCGAGATTCTCAAAATGGATCCCCTTTCCGGAAGGCAACCTGCCCAAAACCTTGGCTTGAGAAGAAAGCCCTGTGGGTGTATATGCTTCTTGGAATCGGACCCCCAACAAATGGAGGTTCTCCTTCCGGTGTCTCTTCAGAACCACAAAGCAAAAACAAAACAAAACAAACAACATGGCCCCTGAAAGACAGACACAACCACTCACCCCCGACTCCCTGCCCCCCGCCCCCCCCAAACAGCCCCACCCCCCGCCCGAGCGCCTGTCAGCAGCTCCTGAAGCGCGGCTTGGACTTCTGGCGAGTGGAAGGGCAACATCAGCTCCCAGCGCGTCTGCGGCGCCAGCTTCGCCGCTTTGGTCTGGCGGATGTGCTTGGAGAAGTAGCGGTGCTTCGCCTGGATGTCTCGATCTAGCTTTAAGCGGGTCCCGAACCCACCAAAAAACACCAAAGGGGCGAGAAAGGCGCCACCGGAGTGGGAAATAAGTGATTTACAAGTGGTGCCCCCTTGTGAAACCCAAATAACCGTTGATTTCCTCTAGTGGCTTGAAACATCCCAAAAAAAGACACAGCTATATAGCCGACATCTCCGCTGCCCAAAGGACCCAGAACTAGCCGGCCTTTTGGACTCCAAGACTAACAAATGGACACCCGAAAAATGAAAAGGTTCTCTTTGGGCGAGTGGCGTTTTCTCAAAAACAACATGTGTGAAAAGCTTTTGCCGCTATCCCCGGCCTTGGGTTCTTGCTGGGTCGCTTCCAGCGCCGCATTTAGCTCTTCCAGCACAAAGCCCCGCAGCGCTTTGGCGCGCTGCGCGCTCAGCGCGCTCAGCCGGGAAACGCCCCTGAGCCGCACCACCTACGCGCGCGGGGCCCCAAGGGGCTGGGGTGATGGGTAGGGAATGTGGTGAAGAACCCGGGCTTTGGTCCCACCAGTTGGATGGTTTATAAGGGTCATTCCATTTTTCTCAGTCCCTGGCTATCGCACCAGCAAGTTTACCCCAAACAACACTAAACAACCGCCTGAAGCAAATCGAAACTCCATTCTAATCATTGAGTTTTGCTTGAACGGTGTGTTTCGGTCTTTGACCAAGCTCCTCTTAAACAAACCCTCTGAGTGGTCTCCCCATGGTCTTTTCTTTTTTTCAATCGCCTTCCCCCCCTCCCCCCCGGCCCACGTCGCATCCCCGCCTCCGCCGCGTCCTCGGCTGCCGCCGCCAGCGGCACCTCGCGCGGCGCCAGCAGCAGCTCCTCTGCCGCCGCCGTGCGCGCGGTGGCCGCCCAGGCGTCGTCGCTCGCCCCGGCGGCGTCTGCGGAGTCCTTTTCGACGGCGTGCTCCGCCGCCGCGTAGGAGAGCCTGGCGGAGCGACACCCGGGACCCCCCAAAAGGGGGGCGAACTGGGGAGGGGGGGGGACTCCCGTATATAATTGTTGGGCTCTACTTTAAAGAAACCATGGTTGAAACCATGTCTTGCTACGGTATTTACAGAAGAAGTGGAAACATTCCAGGGCTTCTGAACGTTGGTGCCGGATTTTGTCATCCACAGTATGGCCTTGCAAAACACTGACTGTTTTTTTTCAGAAAAAGAAGAGAACCAACACAACAAAACACCTATAAACTTGCCAACAACAGTGAAGGTCTGTTTTTCGTGAATCTCCTGGTCCCTTTACTTAGTGACTCAGTGGCCCCTTACAAAAAGACAAACACAAATCAAGGTTACCCTTTTAAACAACTTTTGGGGCCATGACTAAAAGTGGACCAAAAAGGGAAACCAAAAGGTCAAGAGGTCAGCTTTGGGCAAGTGAGTTTAGAAAGCACATCTGGGTTCTCAATGTGGGATTTGGCAACAACAACTCTCTCTCTCTCTCTCTGCCGTTGCGTCCGGAGCATTTTGTGACTCCAAGGCAACAAAGAAGGGTGCCCACTGATATTCCCTCTATAGGCTGCCTGTTGCCTGTGGAAGGCATGTTTGTGTTCCTCATCTCCTTAACCTTTTTTTGTTTAACAAAAAAAAAGAGGACAACACGAGCCCCCCGCGCTGTTATATAACTTCTCTTGTTGAGCGCTCAAAGCTGGCAGGTCTGTGGCTTGTTTTAAGGAGAGGGTGTCCTGTTGCGTTGGAACCCGCGAAGGCTAGTCCTGTCGACGCGCCTGGGACCCTCCAGGCCCGGACCCTGCGAAGCCCCCTTCTGCGTCTGCGCCGTCGGCCGCAAGCGGAACTCCTCCAGCGCTTCGTGGCTCGCGCGGGGCGGGGGGTGGGGGGTGGGTTTTTTGGGGAGAACGGTGGATGCCCCGGCCGTATTGCAAGTAAGGGAACCAGGAAACCCCGTCATTTACCACACTCCCCAGAGTGGCAAGAAGAAGCTTAAACCTGTTGCTTCCCACCAAAATGGCAACCAAACCCAAAAAGTGACGAAAGTCCGAGTTCCGGAACTCAGGGAGTGAGCTAACATTTACCCATGGCTTTGTGGCGGGTATGTTTTTCGTGTCTTTGGCTTACTTGTCCTGCGGTACTCGCCTCACCCGGCGCAGAGCAAAGTTCCCACTGCTTAGCCGCACGCCGCAGGTGGAGAGCAGGGCGACGAGGCACAGGCGCCAGGTTTGCCGGATGAACATGCGGAACCGACCAAGAGGGGGGGGGCAGGGAGTACCCGAAATTTTCCTGAGAAGAAGCAAAGACGGGAAATTGCCAACCTTGCCCCTTAAGATTCATCATGCTCAGGCCCCTAGAAATCTTGGGGACCTCTGGAAAATGGAGGACATGATCCCACTGGCTGGGAAGGGGAGGGGAAAGAACCCACCTCTTCGTTGACCTCCATATGCTTACGGGCCTGAACACAACCGGTGTAATCAGTCCACTGAAACAGGGTCGAAGCCCCTGGGCTTATGTGTTGGCTCCGCGAAACCCAAGTCCTCGAAAATGGCCTGCGGGAAGAACAAACCAGGCCTTACACATCCCTACTTCAGGAAGCACATCTAGAAATTGATTTCTTTGCGGTTTCCTGCAATTGTCATGCACCCTCGAACGGATAATGTTGGGGATAAGTAAGTAGATAAGCGTTCAAAGTGCCATATGTTTGCTTCCAGGTCGGCCTGTTGTGACCTGACTGATCTGCAATTTCGGCCTGAGAAAGCCGAGATCCATTGAGACACCTCCAAGCCAAAGTGGACATCGGCACGAACCTGACGCCAAATCCGGACTCACTGGGCAAAGCGTGAGGCACCTCGAGGGAAGCAGGTATAGGGAAGGGCTATTCATTGCAAGTACCCCCTCCCTTTCCATACATTAGAATGACTCATGGGGCGGGGATGCTGCCAAGGACTGCCTTCCGAATCTTGCGAAATCCTGACTGGGAATACAACTTTGGTGCAATAACCCTCTCACAGATCCAGTCATCCTGGGGACGGGTATCGTTCAAGAACAGCACGCCATAGGCTTTAGCAAGATCATCTTAAAACCACTGCTGCAAGAGTAAGCGCACTCCTTGAACGGCCCAGCGCAACCCCTTAATCTGGCTGCCTGCAACCATGCACACAATGAGCATTGAGCACGGAACATCAAGCGGGAGCCCCACAAACCAGTCAGGAAACCAATTGCCCCCCACTGAATCCAGTATTGGACACGTATTTAGCATCAGGCCTTAATGCGTCCCACTTAGCAAAGGCAGCAATAAAAACAACCTCACAAATCCGTTGCTATGGTTTCAAGAAACTTGGTTGCCCAGTTTGACCAAAAATGAGCCAAGCGGGAAACCAAAAGGTCCCAAGGTCGATTCGCTTTTGCAAGTGAGGAAAGAACCTCGACCCAAGAAGACATACTCCCTGCCAACCACCAAACCGACGCCAACAAAAGAAGAAGCGCACCATCTCCGATGGCCTTGTGAGCACCGGCGAGGGCGTGCGCCTGCTCAAAACTGCCCGGGGGAGGGAAGCTTTCGGGAACTCTTGGGCACGAGCCACGCGTTCAAATGGCCCTGGCTCGAAATTAAAGAGGGTAGGGATGCGCACGTGTTAGTCCTTGTTTCCATTTACCTGGGTTCTAGTTTGGGGACCCCTTTTTGACCCACAGCCATATTAACTGCAGTTGCTTCAAGTGAGTAGAGGTCCCCTATTCCATTGAGAAAAGAGGAGGTATTGGTTGCCCCAAAGCCATGCCCTCCCCAATGAAGAGACTACCAGTATGTCTGTTGCCATGGGAAACCCAAAGTGCAAGAGGTCTTGGGACAACTTGGCCCCAAAAAGCAGAAAGGTCAGCACTTGTTCATGGGATTTCCCTGGCCCAGACCACAACCGAAAGTAGACACGGGCTCAGGCAGTGGGAGGTTTTTGCCTTTGCATTTGTGTTTTGTTGAGGGTTCCCTTTTTTTTAGGTTCAAGGGAAATCAAACGGAGCACCACGAGAAGAGGGTCCACCCCGTTTCAACGCGGTAAGCGCTTCCTGCCTGTCGAGAACTTGACGGAGTACCACGTGCCTCACTCGCAACATGAGTCACAATCAAAACCTGGTACAAAAATGGTGCATCCAGAACCATGTAAAGAATTAGAAAGGCGGCCGCAACTATTTCCGGCTGGGACTGCCCCTTACTAACCTTCTACACGGGTTCTGATTGTGGCTCACATGTTGCAAAAGGACACAGACCAACTCGCTGCGTTGCCAAGAGGCTGGGAGGTGGGCGACGCGCAAAACATGGGCTTTGCGAGAGTCCATGGAAGTGGGGCCGAAAACGCAAAGTTGAAGAGGGATCTACTTGCAGCGGGCTAAAGGCAAACCAGGAAGGGCAAATAGAAACCAACATGAAATGACCACTTCAGGAAATGAATATCCAAAGTTTGGATCCACTTCCTGGGTGTGGCTGAATTAGCATCCATCTGCGTTTCTGCCCCCCGAAAAAACATATATAACAGTTTCCAGTAGCGATAGAACAGGGACAATTAAACATATTCTCTTCAGCAAATGGACGTTTTGTAGGGTCAATTGGTCGGCCCCGATTCCCCGATTCGGATCCGATGTTCTGATGCTATGTTTCGGCCAAGGGCCCTTGGGGCCCCTGAGGACCTCTTGGTTGACTTTGGAAGGGGAAAAAACTATTTGTTTAGCAGTTAGGTGGATTTGGACTTCCCACTCAACCACAAGAAGCAAAAATATGCAAACATGTTTCACATGTTTCCCAACAACCACCATGACCTTGGGCTTGATCGAGCCCATTCGCTTCAGGCTCCGCGGGTTTTGTGATCAACGACTACCGGGAAAACTTCCCCAGTGAGAAGTCCACGCAACACCTTGAGCATGTTGGATCGTTTGTGGATCGTTTCTCCCCCCCAACAAAAAAATCCCGGCGCTCAATAAAATAATATTCTTGCTGGGGGCAAGGGGCATGGAAGCAAACCCAAAAAAAAGAAAGCAAATCCAAGATGGCTGGTGGTTTGCATGTTTGACCTCATGAGTCTTGGGCCTCTGAAACGATGCAACCCACCAGCAGAAAGCTTTAAACCGAGTCCCAACTCAGGAAATCTCCGGGGGTCAACTGCTTCGCCTTCCGCCGAGGTACGCGTTGGAATTTCTCGCCGTCTGCGACAAAGGCCCGCTCGCCACCTTCGGCTGAGGCTGGCGCATGTAGACCTCAAGGGGCTTCGATTCAAGGCACGTGATGTCGGCCAACGATCCAAAAATCATGGACCAATGGGAGCGGACCATCCGAGAAATTCCCCAAAGAGTAAAGCAGTCCTTTAAACCCGGCCTCAAATAGGCAGCTTCCATTCGAGGGAGGGCAAATATTCCAAGTACGGGAACAAGGATCCCTTCCAATTTACTGTAAGTTACCACGGTTTTGTGGGCAAGGTTGGCTGGCTTACTTGCAAAATGGCAGCATATACAGTATCAACCTCCGCAACTCGAAAAAATGGACTAGGTTCAGGGAAGAGACCCACACATCCAAATCGTGGTATGGCTTCCTGGTAAATTGGGGCACGACTGCAACAGTACACCCTAAGCATGATATAAGCCCGTCATCAACCCGCAGCCTGTCAGACCCTGCACCCAAGGAACTTTGTGTGGCTACCAACTCAGCTGGCTTGTGATTTGTGATTTTGATTTGCGGTTTGACGGCACATGGATTCTCCAGGATGGAGAATAATTTAAAAGCCCGGTTTGGGATTTCTCCTTGCCCTGTGACCCTGATTGGGCGTTTGCGGTACCAAGCCAACAAAAAAACAAAAAGAGCAGCAAGGGTCGAACCACTGGGGAAAACCCAAGGTACAAGCTTGTCTTCTCAACCTCCCCCTCCCCCGTCCTGAAGGGCAGTCAGTCGTCAAGGGGGAGCTTTTTGCGACTCAAATGTCTCATGTTCGCAACGCTTTGGTGTTTGGCCCTTTGCAAAAAACTCACAACAGCTCGAAAACGGTCAAAGCGCATCTTATGTCCCCCCCTCTCACCAACGGAACGAAACATTACGCAAAGCAAGGGAATTATATTCCAATCGCCAACAAAAGGAAATGTTTGAAGTGGCTGTGCGACAGAAAACATGGAGGGCTTTTGCATGTTGGACGCCCTGCTTCGGAGATTTTACTCACGGGAATCACCAAAAACCACCGTTGTGAAGGATTTTCCCTTGAGAAAACATGGACGGCACTGTTTTAATGACGTTCAAACAACATGAGTGTCATCGAGCTAAATGGCTTTGAAAGGACCACGATGGCCAGCAAAAGGTGCTTCATCCAGAGCTCGTTTATCCTGGCCTCTGCATGGGTTGCGACATCCGAACTGAACCCGAGCTAAACTTAAACGGTCAAGAACCACCGGGGCCCAAAAGTAACTTTGTTCCCGTCCCATCTGGTGTCATCCATCTGCATGGGAGGAATGCATTACCAGCTGAGGGTGCTCCTCCTTTGCGTACCCCGGAGAGTATCTTGGCCGAGCAATGGGTTTGCACTGCTTGTTGGCTTGATGCTTCAAGAGCGAACGTAAAGAAAACGCACGAGGGCAATAAGGCTAGTTACGTATTGGCCCAACTCAAGCCCACACCCAAACCCAACTACACAAAAGCGAAATTCAGACGAGAAAAGTCTGGCAATGTAGGCACCCTGAGACCCGTTTTACCACCCCACCTGCTGCGGCTGCGTGTGCGCCGTCTGCATCGTCTTTGGCAGAGATGGGCGCGGCTTGTACGCCAGCGGTGCGTACATGTGCTGCATGGCGGCGGCTCTGACCTAGCAGAAGTAAAAGCTCGGTTGCAAACTCTGCCCCCCTGCGAAAAGTGACTAACTTTTCGTGGTTTAATACGAAAAACCCATTAGGTGGCAAAAAGTTCAAGGTCTAATATCCAAGCAACATGCACCAAGGAATGGGTGTGTCGCTTTCAGTGAGCCACCACAAAGGGTCAGTTTTCCTTTGGTTTCCCGTTGCCGACCAAAAAGGTGCCGGCCTCAACAACAAAGACACCCCCAAAAGTTAGGGTCTGCAGTTTGCTTCCTGCGTCATTCTTGAGCATTTGGGTATCTCAGCTTCTAGCTTCTAGTTTTTGGGCGATGGCCAAACGGTAGTTGTCCTGACCTAGCCCTGTTTTGGAGGTGGACAATCTCCTTCAAGGAGGCGCCGGTTTGTGAGCTGAACTTACCAGGACTTGAATAAGGCAGTCAGTTTAGAGGCTGCCGCTGAGTCCAGTCCATCGCGCCCAAAGATGCCCTCCGAAAATACCACTCGCAATCCTCGCCGGAGCCCGGGTCAAACAGCTTCAGGGCCCCCAGGCCGAAGAAAAAATGAAGGCCCCCGCAGAGAAAAAATGAAGAAGGCCCCATTTCCGGGGGCCACGATGCACACGAAAATGGAACTACAAGCCAAAAACGCCTCCCGATGGTTTTGTTAACCAAATGCCGGCCAAGCACAGTGATACAGGACTTCGCAAAGCAAACCTGTGTATAGGGGGGGATCACCCACAAACAAGCAGGATTCGAACTAACAGGGACACCCCCTATTAGTCAACTAGGTTTTATTCATCTGAGGTTCCAACTACCACATACATACATATACATACATAGATATACGTGTGCATAGATGGACAGACAGATAGATAGATATATAGATAGATAGATAGATAGATAGATAGATAGATAAATAGATAGACAGACAGATAGATAGATCGATACATATATACATATAATATATATATATTCATTTATACACACATGCACTCACACATCACACATCATTGCCGTCACAGGCGCAGGGCTCACCGGCGACGGCGCCCGTGGCACGTGCACCGCGGCCACCGGCGAGTGTGCGCGCACGGCCGCGCCGGGGGAGTGCGTGCGCATGACCACGGCCGGGTGCACAACCACCTCAGCTCCAATTGCAAAGGGAGTGGCGTTCCAGTGCGGAACGCCGGCTGCTTTGGAGCAATGCCAAAAACCCATGGCAATGAACGCTTCTTGAAGAAACGGGCCAATGGTCCCTGGGCTCCTTCCTGGAAGACGGGTGAGCCCGCCATGTCAAAGGAATTTCCCGCATGGCCATGGATCAGGGGGTTTGGAGGGGCTTGGATACGTGCCAAGGGAATTCAGGCCATGAGGGTTTGAGGTATGGAGGTTCTATATGGCACTCACGAGGGTTATAGAATAATGTTCCAAGCTTGTATTAGTAGTGGGGGGTCATACTGAGGTCATGAACCATCATGAGTGCGCAATAGAGCCAGTAAAACTCCACGTGTGAGGTTACTCGTCCACTAGGAGGGCTCCTGAGAGATGATTTTGCCCTAAAAATGACCCCTCGCCAGCCACGAAGCCGCTCGTAGACCTCAGTACCTCTTGCATCTGCGCGTGGATTGAGAAGAACCTTTTGTCTGCCACCAAAACTAGGTCCTCCAGAAGAGAAGGGTACCCTTTTTTCTATAGTCTATTTTAGCAGGGGAACCCTCCCCCAAAAAGAAAAAGAAGGCACCACTGGGAGACCTAGAAAAAGCTCTTCAGAAACGCTCCCCTTTTCGGCCTGCGTCACACGCATCGGCGATGTGCGAGGTGAGGCGGAGCTTGGAGACCCCATGGAGACACAGCCTCGCCCACGCGGCTTGTTTTGTCCGTCTCAAAGTGACATGAAACCCAACAACCACTTGGTCAACGTATGGCACCCACAAAATATCGGGGACATACCAAATGGGGGGGCTGCTTCCAACAACGGGTCCGACTTCCAAAAAACAACCCCAATGCTTGGTCAAGGTTCGTCCACCAAGTTCATCAGGGACAAAAGGACAACAGCGAAAGATGTTCCCAAACGTTGGGTGGCGGTGAAAGGGGGGTCGTGCCGCAGCAGGCTACCCCAAAAGAGGGAACGAATGTGCCTCAAAAGGGTCACTTTCGTGGATTGGCCCCAAAATAATCCAAACTGTTGGTTTACCACTAAAATGGTCGAAACCCCAAAAGTTTCAAGTTTAAGAACTCGAGAAGTGAGGTCCGGGATGCCCCGTGTCCCAAAAGGTGCTTGGGCCCGACAGGACGCTTGTCATCGCTTGTCCTAAGCCCCGGCAACAATGGACTTTGCAGGCCTCACAGGTTCAAGATTGCGAGGTGTGGGATACAAAAAAAACATGTGCCAAGCTACTGACACACCAAAATGCCAGGACCACAGGTGCTGTGGCGCGCCTAGTCTCAAACAACCAAGAGACCCTTGCATCCATGTTCATCATCTGTGACATGCATAACGGTTGCAACAACTGGGAAGGAAGCCACAGGTCAGAGCAGAGCATCCGGGCTTCTGAAATGACTGCCCTTGAAACGTCCCATTTTCTGTGAGACCTCCAGTGGTGGGGACAAAAAGGCACCTCCCTTAGGTGCTTGTTCTAAGGGGGGCAACTCCGTGCCACAAAAATGGACAAACTTTGTAAGACTTCCCCCACTCACCCAGACCAAACCCCAAATAAGACATGTGAGAGTTAGAGCTTGTGTCCCGGTAATTTGCGCTTGATGTTTCGGGGCTGCCCTCAAATTCCACGCTAAAAGTTTAACTTTTATTGGGTTAAATGGCAACTACCACTAAACACGAAAAGGCCAAAAAGCCAAGGAACCGGATGGCTGGGAGCAACCAAGGTTTGTCTTATCCTTAAGGGGTATGTTCCAGGGGTCTGGTGGTACAACCTTTGCCAAGCACCTGGAGGTCTCAACCCTCAAAATTCCCACGGCCCCACCTGCAGGCAAGGCAGGTCCAGGATGGTAGCCAAAAGCACCTGCCATGCGAAGCGACGCCAATCCCCGGGCCAACAGGGGGCTTGGCCCGCTTATCCCCCCTGCCTTAAGGGGGAGGGGCGTGGGGTCCCACAATTCCATGTATCCAGTCCCCGTAAAAGGGAAAACGGGACCAGAAATGGAATTCCAGGGGCACCCCTCCCCCTATTGCATTTTTAAAGGGGTGGGGATGCCCGCTTCAGGCTCAAACCCAGGAGTGCCTTTCTTACCGAAAGAGTCCACGTGCAATGTGCGCGTGCGTTGTCATGTTTGATGTGCGTGCGTGCACATGTTCTATTTATCTATCACACATTGGCATGCATATGTTTACATATCTGCAGTGTCAAAGTTGTGTAAACATAAATGTGCACATCTGGCTATGAGACCTCTATAAACCACACATCCTTGAGCTTGAGGAAGCCGAGTTGCCGCAGAGAGAGCCATGCCACGAAGAAAAAAAACAAAAAAACACACACTCGGTCTGTGTAGGATGTTCGGGCAAGTCAAGTGCCTAGCCACCTCTGTTCTAACCCACTAACATAGAACTCCCTTGAGCAGGGGACGTTTTTAGTGGTTGGTAGTTTAGCTTACTAACAACCAGCCTCAATTGCTGAGTGGACTGGCCAAACAACTACTGTTTACCACCAAAATGGTCCAACACCCACAAGTGACTGAAGTCCGAAACGTATCTCGGCAGGTGAGGCAAGCATGCAAACTCCACAAGAAATCCCAGGTCTTTTTGGTAGGCATTCGGAGAATTTCCGGTGGACGTGACCTTCCAACAAACGGGCTCTAATGTTAACCCCGGACTGATAAACCCTGGTTGAATTTGATCGGGGGGTGTCCCCTTTCAGCGGGGATTCCGACCACTTTTGGAGGGTTGCCACCCCCCTAAAAATGGGACGGGTTTTATTAATCCTGGGCTCTGTTGCTCAGTGACCCTGAAAAAAGAAAGGTAACCCTTTTTGGGGAAGACCATGTTTAGTGGGGCAGCCACCAAAAAAGGGAAAACGAATTGGTGCCACTGAACAACTGAGTGGGTCGGTCAACCATAGGTGTCCTTTTAGGCCAAATAAATGGATTTCCCTGGTAGATGATTTTTCACCACCAGGTAAACCAGGAATCGAAACCCATCTATTTTTCGACCAAAACAACCGAAAAGGACACCATATGTGGTCAACATGACGCTCCTCTCCAAGGCCGGCGCTGGTGGCTAGGCTTGCCATGGAGGGTTGCCAAGGGCTGACAGCCCGCGGGGGGCTCTGACCTCGGCGCCGCGTCCCGTTCGGTTTTGTCCCGACGGTTTCAATGAGCCCCGAAACGTCGCCCCAAGATGGACAGCTAGGTCCTCCAGTAGAGAGGTTAAAATAACCTATTTTAGTAGGGGAACCCTCCCCAAAAAAAGGCCTACTGGGGGACCTAGACAACCTGAGCGGCACCCAAAAAGATCCCTGCTAGCGCCAATTGGCCTGATGAGCTGTTAGCCCCGAGTTGGACAACTTGGGGTTTTGCAACCACTGTAATATTACATGGGCCGTCGAATGTCGGAATCGGACCCGCCCAAACGGCTCAGGTGTTCCTTTTGGCTTTCCGTTTGCCACACACAATAACCAGCATGCTCACATACAGAGTATCCAATACTGTGGATGGACACAATCAATTTCGCACCACTTGGAAACCATGGTTGAAACCATTTTCCATCGGTATTTACAGGGGAATCGACTCCTCCCGATGGGTTTCTTTGGTGGGTGCGAGAAACGGATTTCGCAACCGTCCGCAGTAGGTAAAAACCTACCTGACTTCCCCCAGGGACAAGCCAAGAGCAGGGCTTTAGGGTATACCAGCAGCATAACTGACCCGAAGCCCTGAAGAAATGCCCCCTTATGTATTAAACATGTATTAAACCCCGTCCCTCGAAGATTATGAATTCCCGAGCCAATGCGAGACCCATGCCCAACTTCCCCCTCCCAAATCGAGCTGCATTGGGGGGCCCTTTAGAACCAACACTAAACCAATACTCAACTTGCACAGTCCAAGAATTGTCGCTGACTTCTGCTGTTTAAGCTCCCTAACTTCTTGGAAATCGCTGATTGCTGTTTTGAACGATGTTTGCCTGCACGGGGGCCACCGGGCCTCCTGAGCAAGCACCGAAGATCAAAGACTGAGCCCCAATAAGTATCATGCGCTTTTTCCGCCCTGAAGCATCCTTGTAATATTGGGGGGGGGGGGGGGGGCGGCTGGACATGTTTTCCTTGGCCCCCGCCATTTGGCACTATTCACTACTAGGTGCCACGAAGATGAGACCCAAAGGCTCAAACCCTGCAGAAAAACACACTTTTTGCTTGCCACTAGACTGGTCCAAACCCAGAAGGCTGAACAAGTCTATGAACTGAGGGGCGATGCATGGCGACGCCCAACGCAGGGCATAGTTGATTGCAGTTCTCTGCCGCTGAAACGGGCGCTCACGCCATGCGCCCATGAATCACCTGTTCACTTCGGTGGACCAATACACTCAAATTATTTTCCTCACTCGAGTGGACCAAAAGAAGCCAGAAGCTACTGCCATTCAAATGGTCTTCCAATAAAGAAAGCTGAGTTTCCAGGGGAAGTACCCTTCACCCTAACCCCTATTGCTACATTGGCTTGTTCCGGCCCACGACTTCTCGGACCATTTTTCGCTCCAAGCGCGAGCGCCTCTGCCTCCAATGCCTGAAAGGCCGAGACCAGCTCCGAAGGCGCGCCCTGCGCTCGGCAGAGGTGAGCGTACCTAAGTGAGGCGTGAAGAAGAACTCGCAGGGTGGTGCGACTTCGGTAAAACACGCCTTCCCAATGACTTACAAATTCGAAAGTTCAAGGTAAAATAGCACAGGAGTGACTCATTCTTAAGTTCAAGGTAAAATGGCACAGAAGTTGCTGAAGCGATTGACGATGTGCCACTGATCTTGGTTGCTGTAACGACTCCTCTGCAAAAAGTGTTCAACTTTTTGTCGGGAACCTTTGATTTCAAACAAAAGGTTGACATCTAAAGATCCAACCCAAGTTCTCCATCCCCCTGGTGTCGTTGTTAGAAAGCTAAAGATGATGTTTAACACAAGTCCATCCCCTTTGCGTCCCTTTTTGGGGAGAACTGAGCAATTGCTAAAACCACGAAGCCAGCCCCATAGATCCTTTCATGGAAACATTGATTGAACCGCATCCATCCGCTTTTCATGTCCTCGAAAAGGAAGCCTCGTCAACTTACCCTGCCACCAATTCACATGGGATGATCTTCCAGGAGCCCCCTGTCTCAGGTTGCATATTGGTGGGAGTACCAGCTGTTTCTTTGATTCGCAGGCCTGGGTGCTGGTATGGGCCATATGCGAAGTTCCTCAAGGCCGGCAGTGACATGGACTCCGCCGCCGGGTTCATCCGTGGAATGGCCTTCAAGGCGATGGGGCAGTCCCAGTATGTGCCTGGTCGAATGGGAAACCACGCGTCACAGGTCATCACCACCCGGAAATTCGAGTACGTTTGCACCGAAGGCAATGCTTTTGCAAACGGCCTCAGAACGGGAAGCATGGAGATCTTTGATCCCCGGTGGTCTCATTTCAGAAATCTCTTTCCGAGATCTTCGGCCGGGTTAGAAGTGGTTAGCCTTTATTATAACCCAACAAACTTAACTCCACTGAGCGGGGGTCTCATTTTGTTGGGGAGGGTTGTAACTCAGCTGATTCACGACTTACTAACTTGGCCGAACACCCAAGTTGGGACAAAAGCGGCGCCCTGTCGATTTTTGCTCTGATTAAGATTGGGAACCCATTCCACAAAGGATTCGAGGATGCAACTGGGCTGAGGCAAAGTTGGTTCCCGAAAACGGAACAAAAAACCAGAGTGAAGTCCGTTTCAACTTGCTTCTTGCAGTTACCACGAGAAGAAAAACAACCTGAGTGAATTGAAGCCCGTCCAATAGGTCAGCATCAATAAGCTAGCTTGTTGTGCGCTAGCACAGCGCTGAGCATGAGTACAGAAACAAAGAAGCAACACGAGCTCAACAACCAACACACACACACACACACACGCACGCGGGGAAGGGGGGTTCTCAAAAGTATGCACGCCTTTTCTGGACCCCTTTTCTCTTGGCGGCACAAAACATTCCCGTCCCGCTATCCTCTTAAGCATGCTCCGTGCTTGCTTGAACAAAGCCCACTTTCAACAACCCACCTGCGCCAATTATGACAATTAACTCGCCATGATTGGCCTTTCGCAAACCGCAACGTGACGTCTGAACATATTTGCCCAGACCCTCATGAATCACAATCAACACCCGGCATTAGAATGGTCGACCCAACACCATGTAAAGAATTCAAAAGGCGGCCGCACCCATTTCTGGCAAGGGATTGTCCCTTGCCCTCCAATTTACCAGGGTTTTGATGGCCATTCTCCGCCATCCTTCACAAAACACAAGGAAAACTGGTTGGCTACCCACAACATATTGGAATTGCCTGCCTCCACCGGGCACTTACCCCTTAAACTCCCTGCGCCCTGGGGAAGTTAATCTTTTACAGACATATAGCCCATGTCACCCAAAAAGTTACGAAAAGCTTCGTGTTTTTTAAGAGTAAGGGCAACATTCGCGAGATCCCGGCCTGTTGGCGCTCGGAACACCTGAATGCCACACCTCCCCGCCACCTCCGCGAAGCCCTTGAAGGCCTGGGCGAGCCGGGGAAGGACATTGGCAGATGATCTCCGCTAGGTTTTGCGGCTTTCTGTGTTTTCCTCTCTTTTGTTTTGGGGTGGGGGACCTTTATTTGGATTGTGTTTGCTATGTGTGTGTTTTTTTTTGGGAGGGGGACCTTTGTTTGGATTGCTTTTTGCTATGGTTTTCTTTTGGGGGGGACCTTTATTTGGTGTGTTGCTTCTTGTTATTGTTGTTTTTTCGGTTCGGAGGGTGGGACAGCACAATTCCCTTGATGTGAATTGATGTGACGAAGCCAACATAGAGGAACTGCGCCAGCTATATCCATCTTTCAACCAACTGCAATCCTAAGCCCTTGTTTCACTCATGTTAAAGCCGGGATTGTGCAAATCATCTCCGTTCGACTTCAACAGTGTTTGCAACCCACCAAGCGACTGTTCTATAGTTCAAAACCCGCACATAAGGACCGCTTGTGAACTAGTTTGAGATGTTCTTTTTCGCCCCACTCCACGGACAGCCTTCATCAGCCCGACAGCAACGGCACTTCAAAACCCTGGTGGCTTGGTCCATTCCAACTCTCCAGTACAAATTAACGGCAGGAACCCAAAAGGGGGGTCCAATTTCCAAAAGAAGCTTCCTCTCGCTCTCTCTCGCTCTCTCTCAGAAGGAGACTCCAGGCAGGGGAAGAACCCCCCAAAAAAATACCAAAAAAAAAAAAACGCAAAAAAACAAAAAAAGCAACAATCTTTCGATGGGAGTCTGATGTGAGGTCCATCCGCCCGCGCCTCGGAGAATCTCCGAGCCGAATCTTTCGCCGCCTCCGAATCCCGCAAGGCCGCCCGCAGGCGCCGCACGCGCTCCGGCCACCGAAGCGGCGAGTCCGAGCTTCGGGCGAGACGCTGCAGGCAGATGAGGCTGTCCACCACACGGACCTGCGGGAGAACCCTCGGTTGCGAAATCTGCTCCCCAGCCAAAAGTTTAACTGTTCGTGGTTTAGTGGAAAAAACCCTTGAGTTGGCAAAAAGTTTAAGTCCTAACAGCCAAGCAAGATGCAACAAAGAACCATGGATTGTTTTGGGCGAGGGGGAGGGGGGCAACGAAGCCAGGGATTCGAATCCTGAAAAATGGGAAGCCGAAACTCGCAAATGGAAAACCAGTGAACCCACTCTGGACAACCCCCCCAATCTTGGGATCCTTCTTTCCAAAAAGCAACCCAAAAGCATGAAGGGCTGGTTCTTGAAAGGGCTATGGTGGAACAGAATCGGGAGCCAACCTATGGAGCCACAAACGAGAACCCTAGCAAAGTGCAGTACACCGCAGCAAGTTCCAGGGTTCCCCTTGCAGCATTCCACTGATATGTTTACCGCATCCAGCGTCATGAAGGAACTACTTGCGATATTTTCTACCGCATCCAGCATCATGAAGGAACTACTTGCGATATATTTGTTTAGCGCATCCAGCGTCATGAAGGAACTACTTGCATTTTTTTTGCGGCATCCAGCGTCATGAAGGAACTACTTGCGATATTTTTTACGGCATCTAGCGTCATGAAGGAAAGGTGACACCTTCAGTTCCAAGTCGCGTATAAATCA